CTCTTCAGCGCTAAGATGATCCTTAGGGGCAGGAGTTGGTGTTGAGGTGCTCCTTCTGGGCGGCGGGGTGCTCCTGGCAGATGCTCCAGTTACAGAGCAAAGATACTCCGTCCCAGGCGTGAAGCCCACGTTCGCTGTGACCTCCAACTCAGTAAAGGATGGCTGTGGTAAGCTGCAAAACAGAACACGCTTGTCTCGTGATGTAAACCGGTAAGTAGTCGTATCATGTAAGATGTACAAGTAATGAGAAAAGCAGTGTCCATAAACTCCTTCTCCACGTTGCATGTGGAGTTATCAAGGTCCACTCCCAAATATAAAAACAGCCGGGTGAGGAGGCTTCCAATCCGTTCCGTCCCCACAGTAGTCTTGCCCTTAGCAACCTTTGTCCTCTTATCCGCTATAACTCCTGCAAACAATGCTCCCATGTTGACATTCACATCAATGTCACAGCTCAACCCCGCTTCTCCTCCATTGGTGTCCCTCACCGCGTTGTAGAGTAGAATCAGCTCGTCTGCCTTCACTTTGCTCGCGTCATCCTTGGAGAACAGGATGGTGCTAATAGCCTTGGCTTCGATCCGTAGAGCTGGGTTCCGAATGGAGGACTGTGCGGCTGAACGGGAGAAGTAGTTCCCGTTGGCGATGAAGTTCCAGAACGCATTCGCAATCGGAAGACGGTTGGGGAGGATAGCATTCTGCTTCCTGGAATCGAAACCGTAGAGCTGACAGAGTTCGGGGATCGTGATAGAGTACTTCTTCCCTCCAATAAAGAAAGAAAGCACTTCTTCTGAAGCAACTGGCGTGTGCGGGTTGGCGTAGACCACCTAAGCGGAGGCGAGGCACTGCCTAACCAAGTCTAGATAAAGCGCATCTGGTTGTGTCGCCATGTCAGTGAGTTGTGTGGTGGCAAAGATGCAGCCTACGTCGTGAAACAGCCCCAACCCCTTCAACGTCGTTCCATAGAGGAAACGGGTCGGCTCAATTGCAATGTCAACCCAATTGTTGTAGTAGTATGCATCCGAGTGGTCCCACGCATCTTCCGAGTTCATCGGGAGGCGAGCATCAGGCAAAAAAAACCGTCTGCCCTCATCACGCGGCCATGGGTTGAACGCGGCCTAGACGAGGACGGTCCCCTTTGGATTTACCGGATCCTGGTGGTCGACTGTAGGATGTCTTTGGTCCTGTCATTCTTTAGTGTCTTGAGAAACGGGTTGAAAATTTGGATTTAGGATGAAAAATCGAGCCTTAAATCGCTCAGATCGGTTTAGCTTTCGAGTAGTTGTGCTTAGAAGGAGAAGCTTGAACCGTTTTAATGTTGA